TTAACACGTGTAAAACAATGTTAAAAACGTTATGAAATTTGAAGTAACCATATGCAAGTACACCACTCAGTGAGAGAACTTGTGCACTTAAATCAACTAAAAGAGAGCCACCTAGTTTCTACAATATGTCTCATTTTTGGACAGAAGAAATTACAGATTCTTAAGATAACAAACAGAGTCTCGAGATCTCTCTACTGTATTTGAGCATTCACAAATCACAATCTGTATTGAAACTCTTTCGTTCCTCTCTTCGTGTCTGTTTTTTTTTTTTTTTTTTCTCCTTTTGTTTCTTTATTCAGGTCTTGAGAAACTCCTCTCTTTCTTAATGGTTTCAAAGCACAAGACACATGTACAATAAATTAAAGTGTTGACAAAATGAATTTTGTCGGAACCTTTGCAGTCTTGTTTGCTGTATAATATTTCTTTCTACAGAAATCAGACAACTATATGACTGCCACTGCCCCGGGTAATGAAGCTTTGAAAATTGAAAAGGTATTAGAGGAAATTTCGGCACAGGATAACGCAATGTATAAGGCATTTTCTGCTAATAGTTATTGAAAATAGAAAAACCAATCTTAGAAGTACAACATTTTATACAATTAGAAAAAACAACATTTTGCATGCAACAACTTCTAAAACATTGAATAATGAGTAGAATAGAACAAACCAAGAAGTTTCTTAGCTTCCCCGTATTAATAAATTCAAGAAAGAAATCCTAGACAGGACAGAAATCATGCATTGAAGTTCCTTCTTTCTCGGTTAAGTGCATTTATATTTATCACAAATAATATGAGGAATCTTATAATGTCAGGCATTCATTTAAAACCCATCAATGTGGAGTTAAATGAAATCTGTGCAACAAAATAAACCTTCTCCTGAACAGTTTATAGATTAGTAATCAAACGATGTACTGCTAGAGTAGACCTGAGCCAATTTACTATTCTCTGCTGATCAGTTGGATGGTTAACACCAGACACGGCTAGACAAACAGCCCGGACAGCTGATCGATGAGAACCAGATTTAGCTAGAGCATCTGCCATAACTTGCTCCAGCGTCTCCCTTGCAGCAGCTTCTTTAAAATGGAAAGATTGACAAAAATCACTAAATCATCTCATGTAAATGGTCCACGTCACAACTTTTCCAGACTCGTACTTAATCAGAAGTCATGCAGAAAAAGAGCAGCTAGAAATTGTAATAAACATATATACGAGACAAATACAGCGAACTCGTGCAAAACATCGTATGGTAGATCCTTCTATCTCTCTGTCCAGTTCTAAGGTTCAACTTCAAACTCAAGAACGACATCAACAAAAAAAAAAAAGGAAAATTCATTCTTGGAAGATTACATAACAAAATAGCACTGGGACATCACCAAATAGGATTGAATTTCAATATGTCACCGGTTTCTCTCACTCTCTCTGTTGGTGTCATCATCTGCTAAATTTCTTTACTTCTTTTATGAGTAGTACAGTTAAAATTATGTCCATGGTGCCTGAAAATTTGAAGCATGGAATGAGCCTTTCAGTTGAAAGTTTTCAGTAGTATGGCTGCCATTATCACTTTTATCATAAAGTGCCACTGCCATCATTTACCTCAAAATGTATTAGCTTATCAATGCTCCATTACTCATCACATCTCAGCCATTGAAACAATTTACTCCTACAGTGGAAAAAGATATACAAAATGCACTCATGCACAGAATTAACTGCCCATATAACTCACATGGTTAACTAGAATTTTAGAGTAGCCAATGGCTTCAGTTTTTTATTTGCAATATATCGAGTTTCAATTAGCTTCAAATAATTAGCAGAAATTTGGGGAAACATCGTAACAAGAGATACTCTAATCATTAATTTTACATGGCGCAGACAACACATCTACTTTATATCGACTTCTCCTTTTTCTTTGAATTCATCTCAACCAGCAGTTGAAAACTAAAAACTTGGATTCACTGTTGAAGACGTATGCTCTATGTCATTCATAGACACGTGAAACAATTTCCTAACCAAAAACACCAGGCCAACAGCAACATGATCAAACAAGCAAATGTGCAGCCCAGATTACATTTTTTTCTCCACAAGCATTGTAGTTGGAGTACCTACCCCAGTAAATATAGAGGAAAGAGGAATACAAAAGGGAAACCATCGATCCAAAAAAGTAACAAGGACCTTGCATTTCAAACGGCCTTTTTCTTTATCGAAACATGCGCAATCAACAAGAACATGTGAATTGAGGGACATACATCTATGATCCACACACCTCCTCATTGCAAACAGCCTATTGTTTAATTGGATTTCTCTGTTATTCGACACCAAATACGGATATACTGCTCTGACATCAAAAAGTGGGTCAATCCCTTCTGAGGTCAGAGCTCAGACAGAATGAACCCAATTAACCCCAATTTCAGCAACACATGAAAAATGCCAGATGAAAACACAAACCAGGTTGTGCGCAATGCAGCTTGAACACAAAAAACCAAACCGACACAATACACAACTTCGCAAACTTCGATATTATCAAAACCACCAAACCACACAAGATCAAGAAAACGCGAAGCACACCAAACAAGCCGAAAAAAAAAAAATCAAATACATCTATGAGCAGAACGAAAGGAAGAAAACTCAAGCAATAACCGAACAGTGAAATTTTTTTTTTACCCCCAACACTGTTGTGATTGGAGCAACCGGCGACGGCTTTGGCCAGAACGGGAAGAGGGTCGGGAAGGGGGTCGGAGACCGGGAGCAGAGGCATGCATATGCACACCGTCGACGTCGTCCCGCCGTCCAACCCAAGAATCACCTCGTTGCTGCTGCCCATCACCGGCATTTCCTGCTCGAAGTCCCAAATCTCGCCATTCCTGTACCTCTTCATCACTCTCGGCTATCACCCACCAATCAAGGTCCAGATGGGCCAACTGGGTCGACGCGTTTCTTGATTGGGCGAGCCCCCCCGTCCCCCCCGTCGTCGTCCCTCTTATGTGCTGGTGATGGCGAGACGGAAAGAGATGGTTAAAAAGGAGTGCGCGAGAGACAGAGAGAGAGAGAGAGAGAGAGAGTCGACAAGAAAGAGACACCCAATTTCAAGAATTAACAAATGATTCGAGAGGGGCGTAACACTAAACTTCGGGTGTGGGGGCGGCGTGGGGGGATTCGGACGGCAGGGCCGGGCCAAACGCTAGATGGTCGATCCTTCAAAGGTTGGCTTTGAAATTTCTTTCCCCTTTTCTTTTGGTTTCTTGAAATTTGTTTGCGTGATGCGTTGAAGAGAGAGAGAGAGAGAGGAGGAGAAGAAGCATGAGGAGGAGGCGGAGGAGGAGGAGGAGGGTGGCTCTCCATTTGACTGGCGTTATCCTGCTCTGCGCGGAGCCATCGTGGAAGGAAAGCGACAAGAGAAGATGATCGCAGCGATTCAACGCGATGCGGTCGCGTTCGTCCGGCTCTCCTTCGTGTGATCCTCGTGAGCATATTTTGCATTAACGTTCGACGGGGTCCGTACATGTGGCAGGTGAATAAGTATATATTTTCTATGTCCAAAAACAAAAACCAAGAATGAGTATATATTCTCCAATCCAACCCATTATATTATGGAAAAAAATCATTTTTGAGAAAATTCCAAGTAAGGGCCTGAAGTGCCTTCATTTTCTCAAATAAAAATCTGCAATGGCGACAACAATTTCAAATAAGGGTTTATTCTTGCCGGCCGGCCAAATTTGAAGCAAAGTCCATTTCGGGAGAAAATATCCTTGACCCTAGTGAAGACGGGCCCCTTTTTTTAGATTAACATGGTCACTTTAGATCTTTATTCGAAACAAAGTCTACTTCAAACCCATTTTTTAGAAAATGAAGGCATTTCGGACCCTTATTTAAAATTTTCCCATAATTTTATTAAAACATTAAATGCATTTTTCTTTTCCCAATTAAATTTTAATGCATTTTTCCGAGAAAAAATAGAAAAATACTAAAGGAAAACCTCTTGAAATTCCAATCTAGGTAACGGACATGTAATTACATTGTGGCATTTCACGTGTGTAATAAAATAGACTACATCATATATACTTAATAGTATTTATGATAGAGAGAAATCTTTTCTATTTTTTTCAAGAAAGTTATAAGAGAAGAATATTTCAAAAAAAAAATCAACATAGTTGTAGATATCATGTATATTCGATAATATTTAAAGTAATATTAGCAAAAATTAGACTCCACGAGAATGATAAACTATCTGCCTTATAAATTAAAGAAATATGGACCCTATTAGGCACGACATATCATGCTACGGAAAGAAAAAAAAAATACAAACATAATTATAAAACGATATAGAGAGAAAAAAAAATGGATTTGTTGCTTACAATAGAATATGTAGCAGAATAGACTGCCTTACGTGGAATACTGTACTAGGAATAGACAAACAAAATCTATCTCGATAAAATTGACTTACTCTTTATAACATGTTATGGAGCCCATGCGACGGCAAGTACTATGGCATGATAAGCATACAAAATAAGTTTGGGATAATTACCAAAAAAGTTATAAATCTATTGCACGGATATCAATTCAGTCTAACTCCTACATCTTTTGGTAATTTATCAATTTAGTCCTTTCGGCTTTTTTTGGCTGGAAATTGCTAACGTAGACACCGGCCGTCCTACTTGGTACATACGGTGCTAAAGTGAACATTTTTTTGTAAATTTTTATATTTTTTCTTTTCTTTTCTTTTTCCACTAGGCCCCCAGCCACATTGGAAAAAATAAAAAGAAAAGAAAAGAAATTAATTAAATGAAATAAAATTAAGAAATTATTTTAAAAAAATTATCCATGTCAACACTGATATGCCATGTAAGGTGATTATTGTCCATATCAGCGATTTCTAGCCAATAAATTAGCCAAATTAAAATATTTATAACTGAATTTACATCCACACAATAAATTTAAGACTTTTTTTTTTTGGTAATTTTGCCGGCACGACACCTTAATTGCATCTCGACATGCTAACCCGCTTAGTTACTTCTAAATGCACTTTACCTTTGTATATAAAAATTCATATGTTACATGATTTAATACTATTTGAGAGACATAAACTTGACAAATCGAGATTGTTGAAAGTTACCATTACGACACGAACACACGAATCGTCAACCTTATGCTCAATGCTTGTGGGGAAATACCAGATACAGAAGCAAATTTACACATAGGATGTTGTACTTGTACATGTCAATTGTCAAAGTTCTTGGCTTGAAACATCTTGCATCTCTGTCTGTCCTCAACTCATCGTTTCACAATCTGAAGCTCGACAGCGGAGAGATAGTGTCGAGTCTGTTTTCCGCACAGACTTTGGCACGGTAGGATGCCAGATAACCTGGCGCTGTGGTCTCCCGGTATATCGGCGGGTTCTCTTCCGATACCAGTTCTTCGATGGGTCCGTAGAGCTTCGAGGCCTGTTTGATCCCGAAACTCGTCCTGAAGAAGCTCGCGATCGAGACTCTCGGGCCGACGGCTTTAGCCAACACCCGGTGGCTCGCGCTCTTGAACTTGTCATTTGAAATCAGCTGCACGCAGAGCATTGACCCGAATAAAAACAAGAATCAGTTTAAAGACTGAATGGTAGATATCATTCTCATGCAACCCTACGGGACCTGCTCTAAGTTGTTTTCTCTTCTTTGGCTATGTCTAATTCAAAACTTACTCCAGTGTAACTAGTATTTTCGGGTTTCTTTTGTATCGTGTACAGAAAATTACGATTTTCGCTCACGATTAGGTTATGTCCCTGTCGTTGTTTACAGCATACAGAATCATACCTGTTGCTTTTTTGGAGATCTGCAAAAGAACTCTATCCAATATGAGAAAACCATAAAACTTCCATCATTTCATGGACTACAAAACGCCAAATTCGCATGGAATGTGTGAATATCGTGTATGTGCGCGCATGTACGTGCGAGGGCGTTTAATCTGCTCTTCTCAATTAGCAAAGATGAGACCATTACAACAGAGGAAAAGAGCAACTTTAGCTTGCTTGCCTGCATAAGGTCTCCAATGTTCACCAGTAAAGCTCCTTTCTGGGGAAGGACATTGACCCACTGATCGTCTAGAAGGAACTGAAGGCCACCCATATGATCCTGCAGGAGTATGGTCAGGAAGGTACCGTCGTTGTGAGTGTTACATCCCATGGCTCGCTCCGGCTCGGGACACGGCGGATAATACTGGCACAAGAGGACTAATCCCTCGCCGCAATGCATGTCCTTCAGGTGGCTCGGCTTGAGACCGAGCGCCTCCGACAACAGCTCCAACAATGTGAGCCCCAAGTTGTGCACTTGTTCTGAGAATTCGATCACAATGTCCCTGCAAGCAATGCAAAACACAAACACTTTAAAGTCTTTGAAGTTTAACCAAAATCAAAGTAATGGATTTGGGTCTATTTTAAGGATTCATCGTCGGGGTCTTCAGCGAGTAAATGCAGAAAGTTCTTGACGGCAAATCGTGAATTCGCCAATCTTGAGAATCGATACCACTGTTCAGAACCAGGGTCTAGTCAAGTTCAGTCAGGCCAACAGGGTTCAGTACTCGAGCTCGACTCCGACTCGATTGGGCATGTCGATATTCCGGCCCTGAGCTTGACTTCTCAAGAAGCTCGAGCATGGTCGACTTCACTAAGCTCGAATTCGACCTCAAATTCTTGAAATTGCAAGACTAGAATACTATATCATCTTGCTATCTACAACATTTATGAACACATCCATACAATTCTCAATTGCTCGATTCCGCTAATGAGTTATTCGAGTGCAAGTATTCTTGATTAAGCTTGAACCCGACTCAGTCAAGTACATGAGCCAGTTGAACTTGAACTTGAGAAAATCAAGTCAAGAGATGGAATGAAACGTTTCGAAGGTCGTACCTACACGATTCCGGCAACTCTTGAGGCTCCGGCGGGCTCGGAGCCATCTCGCAGACCAGAGTATCCCTCCAGTCCGCCGCCGCCACGTTGAACAGAGTGGAGTTCGAGCAGTACATCACCTTCCTCCCCTTGTCGCGCGAGTACCAGTCCCTCCTGCTCTCGCTCTCGTGGAACCTCCGCACCCCTCCGATCATCTCCTCCAGCACGCCCTCCGGGATCCCGTGGTTCACCACCTGGAACAAGCCCCGGCCCTCGCACGCGATCCGGACCCCCTCCACCGCGCGCCGCCGGAGATTTCCGCCGGCGGCGCCGGCGACGGCTCCGAGGTCGACGGTTGGGATCGCGAGGTCGGCGGCGTCGGCCGTGGACTTCCCGGCGTGGACGAAGAAGGACGGGATCTTCGAGACGCCGGAGTCGTAGAGGCCCTTGACGCCGAGCTTCGTGTCGTCGAAGAGTTTCCGGTCGTCGTCTCGCCGGGGCGCGGCGATACTCGCCGCCGACATCTTCGCTTTGGTTTTGCTTTGCTTCGACAAGCTGATCGGTGTTCGATTAGTGCGCTGCCGATAAGGTACGACGTGGACGTGCGTTTTTATTTTATTTTTTATCACTTTTTCTTATAGAAAAAGCAGTCAAAAACTCCAAAGTCAACTACGCATTTTTACCATAATTTCTTTTGTGACACCAAATCTCTTAAATTTATATTTATATGGCACATTTACTTTCTAAGGCAAAGTAAAATAAAAATAATATCGTTTTGGTTAAAAAATCATCTGACAAATTCTTACGAATACAAATTTGAAGTATTTTATGTCACAAAAAAAATTTAAAAGTAAATATATCACAATGAGTATTATTTTTATTGCTTTGCGAGAAACAAATGGACCTTTGGAGCATCTCGTGTACTTTAGTGAAACTCAACAAACGCTCTACATTCAACCATTAGATGAATGGTACATAATGTACGCTAATTAACATCAACACACACTTGCATGTTGATCAATCGCTAAAGAAGTCTTTAGCAAAAAGGACCAATTTCCAAGTCGAAAGTGAGGGTTTCCTTTTCTTAATTTTTTTCCTTTCTAATATATGCCCCCAAGCCCCATGTCGCAAGGGCCTCATTTGTAGTTGCACGTTCTAAAATGTGACGCAAAAATTTAAGAACAAGTGGAAAGGGACGGCAATTTAACCTTCCCCCACAATAATTGACAATCGATTCTCTTAATTTTTCAAGGATTAAAGAATCGCACGTGTTGACAACAATAAATAAATTAGGTCGTCGATGATATAATATATTATAAAGGGAATGAGCAAAGTGACAAAATATATGTGGCTTGTCGAAGGATGAAGTGAGCTGTAAAAGTTAATTATCAAAATTATGATAGTAAATTGTAGACAACTACTGGAATGTCCCGGCGGGAAATTCAAGAATTTGAAATTGAAAAGACCGACGTCATAGAGAATGAATGCCGCTTGGTTTTAGTATTGTAGATTGTCGATGAAGATTGTCATGAGAAAACTGGGCTGTCGAAGCTGTCGACAAGAAATGCACGTGAAGATGGCTACTGTTCATGGAAAGATGAACGTTAGAATAAAATACGATCGATGATGGATATCTCACAAAGAAGGATAAGTGTCAGGATAAAGATTGATGACAGTTACTTTTTGTGGGAAGATAGGCGTCAGAATAAAATAAGATCGATGGCAGATATCTCACAAAGAAGGACATGTGTCAGGATAAGGATGGATGATGGTTAATTTTTGTGGGAGGACAGGCGTCAGAATAAAATGAGATCGATGACGGTTACTTTTCACGAAATGACAAGTGTCGAAATAGAGTAATGTCGACAACAGTTACCTCATGGGGAAGGAAAAGTGTTAAAAGCCAGGACCAAGTCAAACAAACGGTTAGTGAACAGATGTCATGCAAGGAATGATAAAGATGAGATCAGTGGTAAGTATTGGCAAATAGCATTAGAGAGACGATTATTGTGCTCTCAGTATAAATACCATTCGACAGCCAAGAAAGCCCTCGCGAACACACAATCAAAATGCTATCTTTAAATTATCATTACTTTCCAGCATTGTACTTTCAATTCCCTCAGTTGTAATCATTTATGTTCTGAACACAGTAGTTCCGTAATACGGTGTCGATGGAGTTCGGATGCCGCCAGTCGGTAGCTAGACGGATCTATCTAAATTGTTTATAAAGTTTGAAGTTCTTGTTGATCGGATCTTGTCACGGTTTGAATCTGTGTTGCTGATCAAAACAAGCAATTTCTTTATTTACGCCTGGATATCTCCTGTCCGGAGTCGCTGCAAAATCCGGTCTCCTCCCATTAAAAATCGAAGAACGACTTTCGGTGAATTATATTTTTGCCGCAGGAACAATTCCGGCGAAATAGTACGATACTACAATTCAATAATATTTTTGAATGAAAGTTAAGTTCAATATACATATTGGGCCAGACAAAGGTGATGGCGAGACCCGAGGTCCCGATGGGGCGAGGATGGGGCAAACCAACTCGCCCTGCCGGGGGAGCGGGACGAATATGGGGCCTTCTCACTTATTGTGGTGGCGGGGACGGGGGATGCAAACCTTGCCCCCGCCCTGTCCGATTGCCGTCCCTACGCGCGGACCGCTATGAGAGCATGTGTTGCAAATCAGCTCTCGGGGCATGGTGCCCGGAGACGCAGCAGTGATGCCTCGAAGATTAATGCAGTAAGTCTTTGATGAATGTCCAAAGCAATAATGTGATCATACATTTCTCTAACCCCATATCATAGAATGTCGTACCTGCACATGTCAATCGTCAAGGTTCTTCTTGTCCTGGAACAGCTTGCATCTGTCTGTCCTCGTCGTTTCGCAATCTGAAGCTCGCTAGCGGAGAGTCGGTGTCAAGCCTGTTTTCCTCCCAGACTTTGGCGTAGTAGGATGCCAGATAACCTGGCACCGTGGTCTCCCGGTAAAGCGGCGGGTTCTCTTCCGACACCAGTTCCTCGATGGGTCCGTAGAGCTTCGAGGCCTGTTCGATTCCGAAGCTCGTCCTGAAGAAGCTCGCGATGGAGACTCTCGGGCCGACGGCTTTAGCCAACACCCGGTGGCTCGCGCTCTTGAACTTGTCATTTGAAATCAGCTGCACGCAGAGCATTAATTAAATGAAATAAAATTAAGAAATTATTTTATAAAAATTATCCATGTCAACACTGATATGCCATGTAAGGTGATTATTGTCCATATCAGCGATTTCTAGCCAATAAATTAGCCAAATTAAAATATTTATAACTGAATTTACATCCACACAATAAATTTAAGACTTTTTTTTTTTGGTAATTTTGCCGGCACGACACCTTAATTGCATCTCGACAAGCTAACCCGCTTAGTTACTTCTAAATGCACTTTACCTTTGTATATAAAAATTCATATGTTACATGATTTAATACTATTTGAGAGACATAAACTTGACAAATCGAGATTGTTGAAAGTTACCATTACGACACGAACACACGAATCGTCAACCTTATGCTCAATGCTTGTGGGGAAATACCAGATACAGAAGCAAATTTACACATAGGATGTTGTACTTGTACATGTCAATTGTCAAAGTTCTTGGCTTGAAACATCTTGCATCTCTGTCTGTCCTCAACTCATCGTTTCACAATCTGAAGCTCGACAGCGGAGAGATAGTGTCGAGTCTGTTTTCCGCACAGACTTTGGCACGGTAGGATGCCAGATAACCTGGCGCTGTGGTCTCCCGGTATATCGGCGGGTTCTCTTCCGATACCAGTTCTTCGATGGGTCCGTAGAGCTTCGAGGCCTGTTTGATCCCGAAACTCGTCCTGAAGAAGCTCGCGATCGAGACTCTCGGGCCGACGGCTTTAGCCAACACCCGGTGGCTCGCGCTCTTGAACTTGTCATTTGAAATCAGCTGCACGCAGAGCATTGACCCGAATAAAAACAAGAATCAGTTTAAAGACTGAATGGTAGATATCATTCTCATGCAACCCTACGGGACCTGCTCTAAGTTGTTTTCTCTTCTTTGGCTATGTCTAATTCAAAACTTACTCCAGTGTAACTAGTATTTTCGGGTTTCTTTTGTATCGTGTACAGAAAATTACGATTTTCGCTCACGATTAGGTTATGTCCCTGTCGTTGTTTACAGCATACAGAATCATACCTGTTGCTTTTTTGGAGATCTGCAAAAGAACTCTATCCAATATGAGAAAACCATAAAACTTCCATCATTTCACGGACTACAAAACGCCAAATTCGCATGGAATGTGTGAATATCGTGTATGTGCGCGCGTGTACGTGCGAGGGCGTTTAATCTGCTCTTCTCAATTAGCAAAGATGAGACCATTACAACAGAGGAAAAGAGCAACTTTAGCTTGCTTGCCTGCATAAGGTCTCCAATGTTCACCAGTAAAGCTCCTTTCTGGGGAAGGACATTGACCCACTGATCGTCTAGAAGGAACTGAAGGCCACCCATATGATCCTGCAGGAGTATGGTCAGGAAGGTACCGTCGTTGTGAGTGTTACATCCCATGGCTCGCTCCGGCTCGGGACACGGCGGATAATACTGGCACAAGAGGACTAATCCCTCGCCGCAATGCATGTCCTTCAGGTGGCTCGGCTTGAGACCGAGTGCCTCCGACAACAGCTCCAACAATGTGAGCCCCAAGTTGTGCACTTGTTCCGAGAATTCGATCACAATGTCCCTGCAAGCAATGCAAAACACAAACACGTTAAAGTCTTTGAAGTTTAACCAAAAACAAAGTAATGGATTTGGGTCTTCAGCGAGTAAATGCAGAAAGTTCTTGATGGCAAATCATGAATTCGCCAATCTTGAGCATGGGGATACCACTGTTCAGAACCGGGGTCTAGTCAAGTTCAGTCAGGCCAACAGGGTTCAGTACTCGAGCTCGACTCCAACTCGATTGGGCATGTCGATATTCCGGCCTGAGTTTGACTTCTCAAGAAGCTCGAGCATGGTCGACTTCACTAAGCCCGAATTCGACCTCAAATTCTTGAAATTGCAAGACTAGAATACTATATCATCTTGCTATCCACAACATTTATGAACACATCCATACAATTCTCAATTGCTCGATTCCGCTAATGAGTTATTCGAGTGCAAGTATTCTTGATTAAGCTCGAACCCGACTCAGTCAAGTACATGAGCCAGTTGAACTTGAACTTGAGAAAATCAAGTCAAGAGATGGAATGAAACGTTTCGAAGGTCGTACCTACACGATTCCGGCAACTCTTGAGGCTCCGGCGGGCTCGGAGCCATCTCGCAGACCAGAGTATCCCTCCAGTCCGCCGCCGCCACGTTGAACAGAGTGGAGTTCGAGTAGTACATCACCTTCCTCCCCTTGTCGCGCGAGTACCAGTCCCTCCTGCTCTCGCTCTCGTGGAACCTCCGCACCCCTCCGATCATCTCCTCCAGCACGCCCTCCGGGATCCCGTGGTTCACCACCTGGAACAAGCCCCGGCCCTCGCACGCGATCCGGACCCCCTCCACCGCTCGCCGCCGGAGATCCCCGCCGCCGCCGCCGGCGAC